ATTAGAACGTCAGTTTACTTGCGCAAGAATACACGGCCAGTGTAGATAGGCAGCAAGTTTTTGCACAAGAGCGGCTGCTTTTGCGCAAGATCACGCCAGTGTTGACACAGCCGTGTGTCTACACAGCAGGGCTTAGCTCAATTTGCGTAGCTTATTTCCAGTTATGTCAATTGTGTAGCTTATTTTGAAATTGAGAGAGTCTACACAGTACTGATTTTGAAATAGAGCACTCTTCCTCTGACTTTCCTTATTCCTTGTACAATGAGGGTTATAGGAGTCGGAATAAGAAGTCCTCCAGCTTGACAGTATTTTGACATTATTTCATAGAACACTGAACTGGAAGGGACATTGAGGGCTGCACTGACTGTGGAGAAGCAAGTAGCTATGATGCTGTGGAAACACCATATTGCTACCAGTCACTGAAATGATATTTTGGAGTGAGAAGACCCACAATGGGGGCTCACTGTTAATGTGCTCTGCTGCACTACCAGCAGGTGTTATACACTATGCTATGTCTACACTTATAGAGTAAACTATGTTACCTTTAAGAATAATCACATCTTTCCTTGCTTTTGTGGAATTATCTTTGCTACTTTACTTTTTGAACAATGAAAGTGAGAGGTCTTAGCCCACCTTTCTTTAAATGTGATTTACAACAATACACATAAAATTAATGTTAATATAACTAGATCCAATGATCACTGCCCACCTCCTCTTTCAGTAAAATAATGTTTTTGGTTGCTAAGCAACAACTAATCATGATAATTGTCTTTTGCAAATTGAAAAGGCATTAAGATAATGGTTATGAAAGAAGTGAGAAGGAGTTGTATAATATAATTAAGATTTCCTTAGCATTATGGACATTTGGCCAGGTTAACAGTGATATACCTGTACTGTTTCTAAGAGGAAGCAGTTCTTTCTGTTAGTGCAATGAAATGCTGTGACATCTTTCAGAGACATTTTGCTCCTAGGTGAACAAATTGTAGGCCTATGCAAAACTAGTATTTGAAACAGCTGTTGTGTAAATGGGTATACACACTGAAGGCAATGTTTCTCATTAAGTAACAGTCAATCCATATTTGAACAATGGGGGTATTATACTATTTTAATTTTCTAATTGATAAACATGTCAGTCATTAGCTTACAATAATTACTGTTGCGTGAATTGTGGTAATTCTTAATCTAATCTATCTAAATATGTTCCATCTCTCCCTTTCATTACTATTCTCATTAGGGTCACTCATTTTAATCAGACAAATTACCTCTCTGTTCTCAAGAACTGAATTAAGGTGTTTACAACTGTCTATTTAGTATTGAAGGGAAACTGCATATTTTATAGTGCTACAGTAAGACATATTGCATGTAAAAATCCAACCTTTAAAAGTAACCTTTTTAGCTAGCAGAAAGGGATTGATGATAATAAAAGTTGAGAGGCTACAAGATAAATATTTTAAGAACATTTTCACTCTTCATCAGTTTCCTGGCAAGATAAAATCTTTTTAAAAGAATTTCAGATCAGCAGTACTCACAAGAAACCTGAGCACTGAAAAGCTTCACTACTGATGTGTACTCAGACACTGCACTTCACAGCTCTTTACAATTACATATCACCTGTTCTGTAATAGCATCCAGGGAAGAGAGGATTTCACCCGTGTATGTTTTAGTAGCACTGAAGTTTTCTGTAACTTCTCACTTTTAAATTGCCTCAGCTAACCCTGTTATGAAATAACAGAAACAGTAGATAGCAAGCTCCATTTTAAGTTTCTCCTGTTTGTAAGCAAATCCAAATACTATTATTTTATTGCCATCTAAATTATACAGCTCTAGAGATATTTCAGTATTCCCTTGAGACTCCATGTTCTCACCTGTAAATGGGTGAATCTGCAATTTGCTGGTACAACCCTTTTGTCTTTGTGGTGAGGTGCATCTTTTGTGTGTGGGCAACAATTTCTTGCAGGTTTGTAGTGTCTGTCCTTGAATCAACAATCATTCCCATGGAGAGACCATTTCCCACAATCAAAACACACAGCTTTTGAGTGTTCTTCATGATGCACTTTCTGCCAGACACCCAATATATGTTGCTCAGTGTTCTTAACATGCATGTGACTCTAGCATAGTGGTTCTCAAACTTTTCGACATCATGCCCCTTTTTGATTTTTAAGAAACCCTCATGCCTCCCTCTTCCAAAAATAGAAAAACTTGAACAAAAAAAAACAAACAAAAAAAAGAAGCTGACCAGGGCCGAAAAACAGTCCCAAAAATAGCAAAACTTGAACAAAAAAAACAAAAAAAAAGAAGAAGCTGACCAGGGCCGAAAAACAGTGGAGGGCTCTTTAATTCCAGGAACTAGTGTGTTTAAAATAAATAAATAAATAAATAAATAAAATAATTTAAAAAAAGTTGCCCTGAGCCAGGAAAAACAGAAAATACCAGACATTTCAAATGGTATTTTCTGAATTTTTTTACCAGATGGACTGGGCTCAGAAGTTGCCATTTCTGCTGGTGGTAAAACAATAGCATAATGGTGAAATTTGGGGCCTATAACTGGAATCCACTTGAATGTTTTTGCATGGGTCCCCTAAGTTTAAGAAGGGGTACTGAATTCCCTATTGACTACTGAAATATTCCTGCCCATCCACAGCATAGGTCTAATATGTACAGGACCTACGATGAAACTGGTAAATGGAATGGGTAAAACTGTCTTTTCAGTACTCCCTTTTCACTATTCTCTCATTAATTGTGTATTTCCCAGTGTGGTTGCAAAATCATCCTGTTTGTGCACAGTGTACACCTCTACTGCTGAAGTTAAATATCTGCATTTTGTCAGCACATTTAAAAAAACAGCAATTAATAACAGAGCATATTGACTGCTAGTTTATTACATTTCTGATGCAAAAAATATTAGGTTCACATGAAAATCATACTGTGTTTTATCTCCTTTAGAGTTTGTCATCTAACATATACCATCTATAAAATGACAGCTCATTTCCTGTCATGGTCATATCCTTTTCATTGTTGGAGGAAATATGAAACATCAAGTCTTGAACTGTGGCCATATCATTAATCTTCCACTTGTTACTGGCTTTCTGACAAGGTTTGAATGTAAAGAGAAGCTGTTTAATTCAAATTTCTAAACTGTAACTATGTGAAATTAATGCAACAGTCTGGTGCTCTGGCCACAAATCCCATAAATTAAATAGAGGGCAGACCATAAATATATCCAGGTCAGCTCAACCCCTCCTCAGTAGCTTTGGAGAAGAGAGGAAAAAAGTTTTGATCAATTACTCTATTTGTATTGCTTAAATGGGGAGGCTATGCAATATTTATTTTTAGAAGAGTCTCTAAAAACAAGGGTCAAAGAGATGCCCCTAACATGGCTGCAGTTCCTGGGATGAACCCTTCAACTTGAAGTTACTATTTAAGAAGTGTTCCATCCCAATGACTCAAAGCAATATACAGTGCAACAGAAATACAACACTGAGCCCCCAAAGGTGCTATGAAGTAATCACTAACAGATAGCATTGAATATTCTTCATCCACTATACACCGAATTCATTGCATGTCACGAGTAATAGAATTTTTTCTTCAAGGCACAAGCATGAATTTTTAGAGGAAGTGTGGCACTGTTAGGGCTCGCCTTATTTTCAGTTCCCCTCTCCTTATATCAGGAGGATCCTGCCACACACACCCATTTCCTCATGAAACTCCTGCCATTCTCATTGCTTCCTTTTTTCCCCACATGAATGCCTCCTCCTTGTTCCACAAAACAAACCCCTCTTTCTTTAATGCCATTGCTTCTTGCTCCTGTCTTTTGTCTTTGAAGGTACCACCATGACATAGGCAAAAAGAGGTTATGTGCAAACTGTTTGCCTCTCCCTGAACATGGCTCTAGATTTAGTAGCAACTTGTTTTCCCACAATTGCTTCCATTCCACAGCTTGTTTTATAAATGCACTGACATGCCATTGAGCCCCTTTTATCTTCTTTCCCCACTTATCCTGTGGGGACATGACATTCTCTGTAATTACAGTGAAAGCCAGCCTTTCCAAAACACTATGTAATAGTGACAAGGCAAGTTCACCGACTAGCAAAGTAAAAAAGCACAGCATTAAGCAATAGATACTTACAAGAAACAGAATGCTTTTAATTCCTGAAAAAGTAGCTCATTATTAACATATGGTTCCACAACAAAAATGGAACTGAATTTAGCTTTGAGGGATTCCACACTGGTATTTAACTTCGAGCTCTAGTTTTCCACCCATCTGGGAGCTAAAATATGTTCTCTTCTTCAACATCACCCAATTCCAAGATTGAAGGTCAAGCTCTTTGTATGGCTTTTGTACCTAAATCCTTTTTGGTTCAAATTCAATTACACCTGTGCAATTTCATTGCCTTCTGTAACATGTGTGTGTGTTAATGGCTGAACTTGGCCCTCCAATTAGAAATGAGGTAAGAGTTTTACTGATGCTGCACAAGCCAGAATAGATACTATTTCGCTCTCCCAGAGCTGACTACAGTACTCAATAAGAGATTCTTTAATTATTGTTTGTTGCTGGAGAAGCCAAGTTTAAAAAGCAACTTCACAAAGTTGATTGGACATAAACTTTAGAAGTCTTTTTTACAAGTTACTATGTATGGTAACAGCATAGTCCAAGATGGAAAAACTGTATAGTCAGGCACTGCCAATCATCACTTGGTTGGATGCATGTTGCCAGCCTTAACTAATTCCACAGCATAACTATTTTTGTTGCTTCAAAATAGATTTCTTATTCTTGCTTATCTTAGTCCCTGTGTGCCAGTACGGATGCAATGTTAGAATATTAGGAATGTGATGTTATGAATATATGATATTAAGGAAGGTTTCAGAATTAATTTGTACCCCTTCTTGCAGAGAAATGTCTAAGAATTGGTGAAAAAAACCCAAAGTGTAAGTTATATTGAAACATTAATGCTAATGTTCCTTGCCAGACACTTGTGGGAGTTGGTGAAAGAGGGTTAGACAGCTTACTACTGCCACTTTTAAGCCAAGTTCCACAGAATATTAACATGCAAGAACCTATTTGGATCTGCTAATTAAAGGTGTGACTCTGCATTTTACCATTATGTTGAAACACTTTATTGCATTTATAGGTATACAAATGTACAAAAAAGAAATATTAGAACATTTACATAATGTTATCAAAAGGGGAATGGCAAAATTACAATAGATTAAACTTTCTTGTGGCCTGATTTAGGTCAAGATTCTGATATCCTCATGCTAAATACCTTTCTTCAGAAACTGTCTTCCTGACTTGACTGGAACTACTAAACTAACTAAAGGGAGAGTAAGGTGCTATTCAACATGTCAATGGCCCTTAAATATTAGGAACAAGTGCCAACGCATTTGACACCCTTATTCTTTTCCCCCTTACAGTTCACATGTGAATTGTTTGAATTTCCCCAAGCAAATTAACACTGATGACTTCAAGACTTCACTGTATACCATAAACACAATCTTGTTTGAAGTTCTCGTGTGCCCTATATAATTCTAGTCAATGAGCATATGTGAATACAGGCACAAGTGCGTAATATTTAGTTTCAAGTGAAGTGATTTTCAGCTTAAGAAAAAAAGTGTTCTTGTTCACAGTCTTTCATGTAAGCCTATCCAGTAAGAAGCATTTTCTTGACAGGCAAAGAAAGTTTAAAGCAGATAATTTCTTTTTGCAAGGCCTTACTGTTTTGCAAGTAATTCAAGATAATTTGTTACAATATACATTTATTGGCCAGAAGACAGAGAGAAACTTATAATTGTGAAAGGTGCAGAAGGATAGTTGGGTACATTTGGGCAGGTAGACACCAAAATACAAGTGTGAAATGTTAAAATATAATATTATTAAAAGGAAATAAAGAAAATATAACAAAAGATATTTGAATTCACTGTAACATCTGGAAAAAAAAGTTGTATCAATTCAAAGTAACAATAAATCACAATGTAGCAGAAAGCTGCTTAGAAATACTGTAGTTCGAATATTGTGCGTACTTTTGGTATGGCCATCTGTTCCTCAGTAGGACTAACGCAGAAAACAAAGGCCTTCAAAAGTAAGGGCTAAATTCTTCAGTTCTCAATCAAGTGAAATCAATGGGAACTGCAATCTGCAACATTTGGTCTTAAATGTCTCTCTCCTCCTGTTTTTGTCCAAACCTAAGGTGGTCAATCAGAGAAGGATTTAGGGGGAGGAAAACTTTTCAAGACCAATAAAGACAGTATCATTTTGACTCCAAAATTTTGGCTCTTACAGGAGTATTGAATAAAGAGTCTATTCACTCCTCAATATGCAGTTCTCCCAGACTATGTCTACATTGCAGAGTTATTTTAGGATATCTCTGGTCTTCTGAAATAGCTATTCCATAGCTTAAGATCAAGCCCGCTATATCAAAATATTATGGGCTCATTATTCTGATGTCTCTAAAGCTGGCTGCATGAGGATTAAGGGACATTTCGAAATAGTACTTTATTTCCAAATTTGGTGTTGTGTTGCTTATTTCAAAATACGATACACAATTTGAGCTCTGCAATGTAGATGCACCCCTCAGAGGCAAAAGACAGCCCATTAAGTCTTCATATATGAACCAGAGTGAACATTGTTATTAATACATTCATGTTATTTAACAAATACAATCACAATATATCAATACATTTTCTTATAAAATAAGCATCTATTCACAAGGTAAATCTGTTACAACTCCAAACCTGTGTATGTGAATCTCACAAATGTTCCATTTGCACTCCAGACAAGTGTCCATTGATAGATGTTGTAAGTCACATTTGAGAGGAGATAGTTGCATTATTTTTAGCCCTGTACATAAAATTCTTCGAAAAATTTGCCATGACCATTTTCAGTCTTCCAGCATACTATATTACAATCTTAAAGTATAACAACATTAAACAGAATATTTAGTGAATAAACTAAAAAGAGTCAATTGAGTCTTAGTTTTTCAGTGTTTTCTGTGACCTGGTCAAAATTCTGGTGTTTCACAATGATGAAAGGGATGGAGAGGGGAAGGGCGGTTTATGAAGGACTACGTCTTGGGACTGAATCTGATCACGTAATTCATTTTACTGGGGTTCCACTGATGTAAAACCAGAGAGAGATCAGAATCAAGCTCCTTATGTAAAAAAGTTTAAGAAACCAATTTTAATGTTTTCTACTAATAGTTTAACAGACTGTTTCTTCAAACACATGTAGCAATGAATTGGTTAAGGATTGCATCATGTGGGCTCCAAATTTACACTTACAAAGCACCACAGAATTACATCACTACAGCAACAGAGCTGCACCCTATGCAGTCTCACTTTGGAATACAGAAAAAAAACCCATCTCATAGTACAGTACACCTACACTTATCAATTAAGCTATGAGCCTGTCATTCATTCTTTTAGATTAGGTTGTGCCAGATTGGAGCGTGTATCATTTTTTAGGCTAACACTCTAGCTTGATTACAGCCAAGCAGGATTAGGCTTCACTTGAAAAAAGATAAAATTTGCCAGTAATATTTGGCTTTTATTAGCACATAAATATGCTTAAGGCATCTCAGCCTAAGGCAAGGGGGAACCAGCCCAACCACCAAGACGAAAAGCAACCCGGTCCAAAGAGTAGCATGTCTTAAAAGCACATTTGAGTTGGTCTGTAAGAGACTGAGTAGGAGAATCACCTTTTGAAGCATGAGAAGCAACAGCAGAGGAGTGTTCGACAAGGGTGCTTCCTCCTATATTCCAAAGCTTTCCTCACCTGACATTTAGCCTCTCCTACATAGTTCTCAACTTTTTCCACATTCAGCTGAATAATGTCAAAGGTGTCAGCCTGTTGCTCCACCAGCAGTGCCACCTGCAGAAAGAGCTCATGAACTTCCCTGATCCGAGACTCCAACTTCATCAACTCTTTGTGCCGTGTCTCTATTTCATTCAAGGCTGCACGAGCCCCTCTAACATCAGATAGGAGATTCTCAGAGAAAACATCCCATTTGCCTTGCTCGATCATGTCCTCAATCTGGTTTCCTGAAACATCTTTGCCCATGATTTCCAGCTGTCTCTGGATCCGAATCTTGCAGTTCTCCCGCTGGTTCATCTCTGCCTCATTGTACTCAAACATGGCTTCCTGAAAGGCATGCATGAGGTCAACATAGTGATTCTTTGATACACGGGTTATGACAGACATTGTGCCATGTTTTGTTTCTGCATCTTCACTAAAGTCTTTCATTGTTTGGAGTTTCCTATGGATGCCTTCTCCACGAGCTTTGATGTCTTTGGCAATGCTGTTAGTATCTCGTTTGATGCTACTGAGGCGGCGCATGGAGGTAAGAAAGCGGCTATTTTGTTTACCTAGCCGCCTGACATCATCTTTCAGGTGGAGGTTGTCTGTTCTGATACTCTGGATAACTTTGTAAAGGCTTGCAAGAGCATCATCCGTCTCAAACAGGAGTGTTTCATCAGGTAAATTCTCATCATCCTCATTGTTAGGAAACTGTTGGTTATAAAGCTTGGCTAATTCATACAGGTCCCATAGCCGGTCTTTCATCCTACCTATGGACGAAGAGGGGTTGGGGAGAAGAGAAAACAAAACAAAAATGTTCTAAATAAAATATTTTTTTCAAGTTTTATGCAAGGATACTTTACACATGAAACACACCATAAAATACCAGTTCTTCAGCATCACTTTGCACAGGACACTGGATTCGAAGTACTATATACTGGTGTTTGAGTGCCCTTGTGGTAGTTACAAGGCTCATTATTTTTTCCCCTTTTTAAAATCATGCATTATTTAAAACTGTACATCCCAAAACCTGTCAATATTCAAAAACAAAACAAAAAAAAACTTTGCCATAATTCTTGCAAGCAAATAATTAAGGTTTAATAAAAAGCCTGTAGTTATTGCTGCCACATGTGTAACAGCAGTAATCTAATTGAAAATTCAAGATTTTTCTGTATCTAGATGACTTCTAGACCCTGACCCTTTACTGTATCCCTAATCCCAATGACCAGAAGCCTTAGAATTTTGCCTTTGCAGTTTGTGCCTCAGTGAAACCCATAACATGTCTGCAGAGTACAAACACATACACAAAAAGTGTAGTGGGGAAAGGACTGGTAAAGATTGATTTGGAAAGATTTAGGCTGGGATTTTCAGAAAGGAGCAGGGCACCTAACATGTTTCTAGTACAGTAAAAACCCTAATTAAGATCAAGGCTGCATTGTGCCAGGTGCCAAACAAACACAAAATGCTACTATGCCTGGGATTTGATGTGTAAAAAGGAAGTCAAATCCCCCGGAGCCATTGATTCCCCTATGAGGGGCACGTACAATATACATACATTGCTAATGCTTAGATATATTTGCTATTTGTATAGGAGTAAGACATGATAAAGGTCAAGGCCTGTCACAGGTAATAACTTATAATAAGGAGACGAGGGGAAGTGAAACCAGTCTTCTGTTAAGTAGAGATATGGATAGATTCCACATCCTTTAAACTTGTGACCGGCTCAAGCAGGAAAGGAAAAAGGGAGGTATGGCTCGCCCATTGTTCAGCAAAAGTGAATGAATGTAACACAGCTGTAACCGCAAAGTCAGCAAGTAGGCACTGTATTTAACCTCATTTGGAAAATTAACCTGACCTATAGGAATGCTAAATGTCAAAGATGAAGTAACCTATCATGTTAAGGCACCTAAACCAGGAAGGATGTGAACCCTATAAAAACCCCTGCCTATGAGATGTTGGGGGTCGGCTCTGCTTTGAACATTGAGTTCCTTAGCCGTACCTTGGTTGCAACCAATAAACTTGAGTTGGACCCAGCCTGAAAGTGTGACTCTCTTCTTGGGGTAAATCAGACTAGCCTCCAAGGGGACGAAACCTTGCAATTTATGCAACAGATTTAAGAGTATACTTCAGCTTTCCTAACATGGAAATACTTTTTTCTAGTTTGTTCTCTCTGTTAAAGCCCAATTCTGGTGTCATTCAGAGCTCTGAACTTCTGTTAAATTCAGCGAGTATTAAATGTGGAGTGGATGCAGAACCTACCCTTTATATTTTATAGAGCTAAACAAAATCTAAAAATCAGATTATCCTAGTGGCAATCTCTTCAATTATTGAAACAATGTGTGTTTTCCCCCCAAGTTCTTGCTTCATGAGGCAGAAACTACTCACATCAAATACAAGAGATCAAATGTATTCAAGCCCTGCGGCAAGGTTTCTTTGGTACTCCAGTTTAGAAGCTAGAATAGCATAGCAGGGCCATCTAAATTCAAAGAAAAAGGTTACTGACCTATATTTACATAATACAATAAGAAAGCTCTGTCTGGTGTTCAAATGTTTTGACACCAAACTGAATTTTACTCTTACATTTTCATTTGTCCAAGAAGTGGCTATACAAGTCTTTACAAAAGGTGTTAATTACCATGGATTAATTGGCACTTCAATTACTTCAAGGTTAAAAAAAACTTAGTGGAGACATGGCCATAGGGTATAGGTGTGGAACCAGCAAAGACAGGAGTCAAAGGCTAAGTCTGAGGAGTGAAAGAGTAAGTCTACATGTGTGTTTTACTGTGCAGTAACTTTCTGGCTCAGGAATGTGAAAAAAAACACCACACCCTCCCACCCAAGAAGGAAGCAAGTTACAACACTGTAAAGCACCAGAGTAACCCATGCTAAAGCACTGGGAGTACCAGCTCTTCACCTCATAGAGGTGGTTTACTTACAGTGCTGGGACAGCTCTCTCCTAGTGCTCCTGCTCTTGCCACACTGCTGTGCTAAAATGCAGCTATAGCTTCACTTTAAAGTTTTCAGTATAGACAAAGCCAAAAGAGCCAATTAATCATCTTTTTTGCACCGTTTTTAAAAGTTAAGGAACAAAAACAAAATCCTAATTGCAGTCCCCTCAGAGTAATTGCCCTCTTTGACACACATACCTTCAAGTTTTGTAGAACAGGCTTAACAGGAATCTTGCTAGGAATTTTAAAGTGTTTTTAAGCCACAATTCTGCAAATGCTCATGTATACGCTTAATTTTATGAACATGAATAACCCCATTTAAGACATTGGACACATGCAAGTGTTTGCAGCACTGGGGCCTTAGGGCTTGTCTCCTTGGGAAAGTTTACCAGTGATATAAATAAAAATATAGTAAAATAGCCCCAGGGTAAACACTCTTACCTTAGTGTAATAGTGGCTTTTTTGGTTTAGCTTTATTCCCTTCTAAACAATAAACTCAACCAAAAAAAAAAAAAAAAAAAAAAAAAAAAAAACCTAAAATACATAAAATGACATTCTTTACACCAAAATGCCCATGTAGAGAATTATACCTGTATAACTATAATCAGTTTAAATTCACACTTTAGGTTAGACAAAAGATGACCCGGGAAGACAAGTCTTGAGAAGCAGAATGCTTTCCATTTTCCTACTCTTGTTTTTGCAGAGTATTGGCTTTGTAAAGGGAAACAAAGTAACGAAGGTGCATGAAGAGGGTGGAGGAAAAATAAAGTTGCTGCAAAAATGAAATGTTAACCTTGATGTTTGGAAATAATTAATGGGTTATTTTTTAGATAACTGTTTTGAGAGGAGGGGAAAAAGTATACTCAAGTGGATACAGACAAACAGCCGAGCGATGGTAGGACATGTATCATTTCAGAATGACTTGGGTCCTTTCTGGCTCAGAATGCTTCTTTTAACATCTACACAGATTGTACATTTAAGTAAGAAAACCAAACGACCAGTTATGGGTTAGTTGTACTTCTGGTCTCTTTCAAGTGTACCTGGTTTTCAGGTTTCAACCTCTAGTTAACCCCTCTCAGGGTGGAAATCTCACAGTCTTCCGCTCTCACCCCAGGCCTTAGGCTGCAGTATCCACAGGGTAACTATGATCACCTCAGCAGACCTAACCTATGTTCCGTATCTGCAGCTCTGTACTCTCCAGGAGAGTGATCAGTGATTAATAAAGTGAACAAATACATGCTTACAGCAAAGATTAGTACAAAAGTATTTTAAAAGAAAAAAGATCTTCAAACAGTCTGTATGTGTATACCTTTCTGTAGATTTATTATCCCCTGGATCTGGTAAAGGGATGTTAAATTGTGGTTATCTGACTAATTGTGTAGTCCAGGGCTACTCAACTTTGGAAGCCCTGGGGCCACAATGATGCTCACAGCACATGCCAAGGGCTGCAACTTAAGAGTGGTTGCATATACATGCAAATAGTTTCTTACAAACTTATGGGCATGAAGACAAAGATAAAGCCTTAAGCCACGGCACCGGACCCAAACGTGGCCAGTGTGAGCCAGTCAGCACTTCTCAGGCTCTGCTTAAAAGGCTAAGCAGCCAGCACTTTCCACAATACCCCAGTGCTCCTGGCACCTCCTCTCCTAGAAACACTGTACCTATCTGTTCCATCCAGCTGGTCCACTTGCATCTTTCAATGCTCATCCCACCTATACTTATCTGTTTCATCCAGCTGGTCCACTTGCATCTTTCAATGCTCATCCCACCTAGGAGACATTTCACTGTTGTGAAGCGTGTTCCCAGTGGAGGCCATGTTCAAAGGATCCCACTGGCAGGCCACGTGTTGAGCCCCCCATAAACCCAAACTGCATCGCAGGCTGCAAACAATCAGGGCAGCATGTTGAGTTGCCCTGGTGTAGTTGATACAATTATCAACTACATGACTAGTCAATACGGAACACTCTGCAGCGCTGCAGTAGGGATAGCTCTAGGAGTAGTGCCAGCTCGTGCTAGCTCCAGGAGCGACCCACAATGCGGCTCTGCATTTTAAATGTAGTAAGAGCTGCCAGCCCGGGCTGCTGCAAACAGCCTTGGCTTATTGCAGGCAGAGGCTGCTTTACAGCAACCTCCCCAATCCTCCCCCATCCCCCGCTACCTCCATCAGAGGCAGCGGAAGGGGGAGGAGGCACCACAGAGCCGGTGCTGGGAGCAACCGGCTTTTAAGCTGGCTCCCTCCAGCACCAGCTCTTGTTTCCCTCCCCCCGCTGCCTCTCAGAGGCAGCAAGGGCGGGCTCTAGTCGACCAGCTGATAAGCTTATGCTTATTGGGTGGTCAACTACTCACTAACATCCCTAATCTGGAGAAGGCCCAAATCCTTCAAACTCCCTTCACAGAGTCTGTGTGCATGGGCCTGTTCTTCTAGACAGGACTGCCAAGTGTCTGATTTTCAAACAGAACGTCTGGTCAAAAAGAGACCCTGGCAGCTCCGGCCAGCATTGCTGACCAGATACTTAAAAGCCTGGTCAGCAGGCCTAAGGCAGGTGCCCTGTTTGCCTTGACTCCCTGTATTGACTGGCATATCCCTGTGGCTATTGGATATATTTAAGGATTAATAGCTTTATAAAAGACATCTGCAGGAAAATGTGAGCTAGCTAAATTCTTCAGAGTTGTCATTTGAATATTACCATTTCTCTCAGTTGTCACAGAAATCCAGCAAGTAATATTGATCCTAATTTTGAAGTTTTTCTAAACTACAGATAGCTATCAGTATCAAACTGTTTGTGGCAAAGTAAAATACATACTATAGTAGCAGAAATGAGCTAAAGCCTATAACCTTCCCCTCCCCCCATACACACACACACTCAGTTTTTGATCCTGTCAAGAAAGAGAATTCAGTCTTCCACAAAAAGCTTGTGGCAAATTAGGAATGGAGACATAGCATGTTGTTAGGATATTTTTTGCCTCTTTCTTCATTAAAAGAAGGTGCTCTGGGTCTGCTTATGAAGCAGAATGATTTACTCTTAAGCATTTCAAAGATGTTTATCTTTCAGTTCTCATGGTCAGGTTTACATGACACTTAACAAAATGGAAAATACAAAATAATATGAAATTGATTTGGGCACTGTTGTGAAGTACTGGTGAGAAGGAATATGAATTCAGAAAATTACCCATGGAGTACTACAGCAGTCTAAAATCCAAGATAAAAATAATTGAAAGTAAATTCTTTACTCTTAATATTATCTGCAGTTATTTAAATTGAAAGAATAAGTTAGAATCTCTAAATTATGCTTCACATGTGCAATAATTTGTTTCTTTTCTATACTTCATTCAGCTGACATGAAACACATGAACAGGGCAATTAAGACAATTTTGATGCTAATTAATTACTTTCCTTTTTCACTTCTTCAGCACAATACTAAAAAGTGTTTTGGGAACAGCTACCACAAGAGACTGTTTAACAACAAATCAAAACGAACAAAAAGAAATCCCACAGATTGCCACTGAAGTTAAAAATTTATAAAAAGTAAAATAAAAACATGTTAGAGAAATATAAATAGCTATACCCAGCTATCTCTAATAATGACAACTGACCCTAAAATATGTTCAAACTTATGCTCTTAATAGGCAGCCCAGAAAAGGAAAACAGCTTAAGTTTGGTTAGAGATTTACATTTGGCAAGAATAGCCATTATAAAACTTAAGACAGAAGGAAGCATTTCCACCTTAAAAAACAACAAACAAAATCCAATTACATTTGAATTAAAAAGATCATTCCACAGCTATGTTGAAAATACAACTGTTGCTCTAACTATGGAAGACACAAAAGTGAAAAGTGTCTAAAACTCAAAAGGACCTCACTAATTTTCATTGTCAAAACTGGGAGAACTTTAAGGACCTCACCAATTTTCATTGTCAAAACTGGGAGAACTTTAAGAACTTCACGAACACACACACTTGCATGCACAAAACAACAAACAGTGACAAGACTATTTCCTCCCACTTCTAATCAGGGTGATGAACTGTTTTTGGAGTGGGGGTGCTGAGATGCATGTCCCTTTTACTTGTCTGCTCTTGTGCTCCTCCACCCTTGGGAATGGTGTGGTGCCAGCAATCTAGTAGGACCTCGGGGCCAACATCTGAGCCCCTGAGCAGTAGCAGGCCTGGAGACCAGGAGCCTGGGTGGCAAGGACATTGAGCCAGCAGCTGGGACTCTAGATAGCAGGGGAATGTGGCTGGGATGACTGGGGTTCCAGCACCCCCAACCTGGACTTTTACGTCCCATGCCTATATGTCTAATCGTTTTTAGATATTATTAACATAGGTAAATAAATGTGGTCACAAGATGAAGATGTTCCTTTAAGTCTGTTCTACATACTAAGGTGTGAAACTAGTGTTGAAGGTGAGCTGGTCAGTCAAAATGACATCTCCATTGTTACTTCTTAGGGGTGCAATCATAACCTGACAAAACCCACAGCTATGCTGTCTTACTGAGAGAGAAGATAGCCTGAAAGAGGTGAAAATGAACCACATTAATTTAAATCAAGGTGTCATTGATGAAACCTAATTAACTGTCATTTTAGCAGCAATATCTCCTGTATGGTTGTATATGGGAGTCCAGTGATGCAAACAAGTAAATAAGCAAGCAAACAAACAAATCTGTCACTGCAGGTCATCTAGACCATACTCAATTTCAAATATCATTAAAATATTAGGACCACTGTATATTTATAGATGATTTAGCACGCGCACACACACACACACACACACACACACACACACAACCCTGCTGTCATATTTCAAAATTTCTGCTCTTGAGCTTCTCAACAAAGTGGGTATAAATATCTTAAACACTGTTTTACCAACATATTTCCTGCAACCCTACTCTCAGAAACAACTGGACCATTTTGGCTAAAACTTTCAATGAATTCA